TAGTAGTAGTAGTAGTAGTAGTAGTAGTAGTAGTAGTAGTAGTAGTAGTAGTGAGAGGTGGAGAGAGGAGAGAGAAAGGAGGAGAGAGAGAGAGATTCCTGACTATTATGCAAATTACTTCTGCTCTCATTTGATTTAGGAAAGTTCACTCTTCAGTTTGCTCAATTAATTAGTAGATTTGATTTACCATGTAATATTGCAAATCCCAAACAAAGATTTCAAATTTCCACGTATAATTTTAATCTGAAACTGACAGGAAGCTGCAGAACGAGTTGGTGAAGAGCTTGTCAAGGCCTGCATCAGACAGAACATTAATGAAATATCATCTTTTGACCCCAACGGATTTGCCCGAGGGCAACGAATGGAGGCTTTTGAGATTGCTATTCGGAAACATGGATTTTTGCCACATGGACGGTAACAAGGGAAGGCTTATCTCATCGCATGTAAGTTAGCTTTTTTGGTTACAAGTTTCGTAGATAGAAAAGAAACAACTGCATCTGTTTGTTAAATGTTTTATGCATTTTAATTGATATGTAAATTGTCGGATTTTAGTAGCTTTTAATGAGATTGCTTAGGTCGAAGTTTGACATATTCTACTGCATAGTTTTATTGCAATATCTTCTTGTATTATACCCAACATCTACAATATTTAGAATTATAACATTACTCTTAAGCGAATTGCTACAGGTTTTGGCACAAGTAATGTTCCTACATGCTCTCATGCTTGTTGTCATGGAACTCATTCACGATATGTCTTGATGAATTCTCTCTCTGAATTGTCTAAAATAAATATCCATGGTAGCATAAAATCGAATGCACCTTTGTATGGAAGGCAATAGTAGCTTTTTTATTTTTTATTTTTTCTTTTTGGTTACATTGGTAAGATATGGTAGCTTTAATGACCTATATCGAACCACTATCTTCAAAGGGTCGCTGAGATCATTTTATGGTTGAGTACTATAATCTGGTGGCATGAAGATATTTGCCTCTGCTGGAAAGTTTATGTTCATAAGATTCTTATGACGAGATGATAGAAATGCTGCACATGCGAACTTTTCACGGCACATGTATGTATGTATACCATATGCAATTGTTTTATGTATGTAATTGAATGTATATGTAAGACATTGACATTCCCTAGCACCTTGCAAAATTCTTATATTGTGAATAGAGAATGTTATTAGCATCAATTTTGAACAAAAGAAAAGAGATGGGTGGCAAAACTTCGATCCTAAGTGCCAGCCTTTTCTAGGAAACGCTTTGTGAATCCTATCTGATAGTCTTCTTTGCTGATAGAGGGAGCCATAGGAGCATCTTTCTCCATAACTGGGGCAAAGCAATCACTGAAGAGGGACATGGCCTTCGAAGCTCCCATTTATTAATGATCATGTTTGGGGTCTCGGAGGGCTCATTGGAGGAGTGTGAGATTTTAAATGCTCAACTCACTGGTAGGAGGGTCAGAAAGAAAGGGTGATGATGGCCTTCAGGATGGGGGTGGGGGGGGGGGGGATGGGAAGATTCTCCCAGAGTTGCACTTAGGGTGCAAAGAATAAGGAGAGTGGAGGAGAAAGGAGTGACAGCGATGACCCCTGAGGCGAAACAAGATTATTTGATTCCGAGATTTCATTTTGGAGACAAGAGTTCCACATGATGGCGTTTGGAGAAGGATAAGAAATGGTTGAAATGTGTTTAGGTGTCACCAATTCTTTGATATATGTTGATCTTGGGTTCTATAAACATCCAAAATTGAATATTTTAGACAAAGCAAATCGAATCAAAATGCAATTTAAAATGTCATAATTTCAAGAATACCCCTCAGGAATAAACCATTTATGGTGCCAAACTTGTGTTGATATTCCACAAAATCGCAAGTACCACAGAAGAGAGATTCCACAGAAGACATTCATCCTTGACAATGCCGCAAAAATTGATCCAAATTGTAAAATAAAGGGATGCAAAAATATGTGTTGGTGCAAATTTTGTCACCTTTTTGTTTTTGGCAGCATTTTCTTGAGCTGACAACGATAGGTTGTATTAGCTCATGGATAACCACCATTGCATTTTCACACAGTGAAGGACCAATATACCATTTTCCACATGAATCTAATCTCAATCATTCATTTGACCTTTTTGAGGGGCAAATCTGAGTCCTCCATTTTGTCTTTTCAGAATTAAATCACAACCCTCCTCGTATCATTTTCTTCATGATCATAGTCCAGCTCTTCTTCAACGAAATCATTTTTTTTTTTCGTTTTTGGAAATACATCAAAAAGTTGCTCCAACAAAGTAATGTTGGACCACATGTACTGATATTTTACGAGAAAATATGAGGTAGGTAGGAGATAGAGATACCCAAAAGCCAAAAAATGTTCATCCAAATTGCTGCAAGGTCTCCCAAATTTTGAAATCCAAGAGTGTCCTTGTATTCATGTCTCTTTCTATCTCTCATCCCTCTTCTATTGACCAATTGCATTAGTTTCTTGGTCTTTCTTTTTGTTTGCAAATTATTCTCACTGCAAATTGGGTTTCGACCCCAAATAATGAAAAAAAGGCTCTGATGAATATGATGTTCTTTTTCATAAACGATGTCATGTTTCGTGTGTATTTAATAGGAAACCTCATTTTGTAGAAATAGCTCAATTTTACAATGTATTTATTTGGAACCAATGCAGTCCGATAGGGACATAATCGATGTTATTTATGTAAAGTTGAAATTGGAGATCATGATTACCTCTTCATTATATGTGCTTTTGTGGATGAGATCCTCCTATAACGTATTTGTTCCAAGGAAAGTTAAAAAACAAGGTCCTATGACAAGCTTTAGAATGATCATTCAAGGGACGATGAAATAGCAAATTTGACATTGCAAATAGTGATTTAGACATTAATTACCCCTACGAATGCAAGAGAGAAATGGAAAATACAAACTCCTGATTGCTTGATGTGTGGTGAAGTTATTATGTACCTAATAGATCGTATATATATATTAGTTTCATCATCATCATTTTAACCTTTTTCCAATCAATTGGAATCGGTTAAAGCATATATTGTAAGACTAAATCCTCACGTATTGTAAAATTTCAAAGAAATTAGTACCACATGTTGGATTCCCACATAGACGACTAAGGTCTAAAAAAACAAATTGGTGACTCGGATCGGCCGTCAAAAAAATGGTCCGGTTAAGTGATTAGGCCGAGTGAATAACCAATAAAAACTAGAAAAGATTAGAATGGCAAATAAAAAAAAAATTTGCGAACAAAAAAATTTGGAAAAATTGTAAATGAAAAGTGGGGTTAGTTCAGTTCTCTAATAGAATTAGTCAGTTCATGGTGGGTGGGATCCGAACCGGATCAGCTCCTGGCTCTCATTTTGGATAAGCCAATTCCAATCCGAATCACCTTATTTTTTTAAGCCCTGCTAAATGCAAGAGGGAAACAAAATTGTTACGTAAAACTTCAGTAAGGGAAACTAGATCGGGGACTTATCACCTTATTTTACTCCATTCTTAAGCAGTCTAAGTAACGGATACCTTAAAAAAAGCCTAGTTTTTAGGCTTAGGAACTTGAAGCTGAAAACATATTGAAAAAAAAATAAAATAAAGGCAAAGCTGTTCACATCACACAGCACCCGATCCCACGTGCTTTTTTTCCTTCTGAAATTTGGGCATTAGGAATTAATTCAAATAATGGGTAAAGATTCCCAACCCTCCATTGATTCTCATTAGCCACTGCTCTCCCTTCTCTTCTCTTTCTCTCTTCTAAATATCTCTCTCTCTCTCTAAAAACTTCACTCAACCTTATTCTATGCACTGTCTGAGGAATTGGAACAAAGAGAACTCACAAATACACAGGGCTCTGCTCCCACATTCACCAGCCCCAAGACGATAGAGAGAGAGACAGAGAGTACAACTCGCATTGGTTCCCTTCAAAAAAAATAAAAAAATAAATACAACTTGCATCTGGAAAATAGAATATTGAATCGAATATAAAAATAAAATTGCAAGAAGAAAATTTTGGGGTAAAAAAAAATTAAAAAATTAAATGGAAAGAATATCTATACAACAAAGAAATCGCCCCCAAAAATTGTTTTTTACACCTGCCGCTTTCTCACTCATCCATATGGCTGTGTAGCCGTGAATTCTTAGGTTTCTCTCTCTAAAACAAGTAAAGATCATTGATGGGATTCTCTCTCTGAACCCGGGTCCGTATTTTTTTTCTCTGGGTTTCTCTTTCAACCTCATTCTCAGAGCAATTTGCAGAGCATTGATGAAATTTCAGCAAGTGGAGCGATTTGCAGAGCACTGATGAAATTTCAGCACGTGGGGTGGAGAATAAGGAGTGAAAAATGACAAGGGAAATCTAGAGAGAGAAGTCCGATTCAGTCGGCCAAGAATGGCCACACACGGACAAGATCGTAAGGCGCCCACAGGCTGTCGAGTGGGCACGGGCGCCCTGAGTCGAGCCTGAGCCATGGCTTCCCCTTCCCGCTCCAATGCAGCAAGCTCACCGGCCCCGGATGTAAATCCCGGCACAATCCCTTCAAATTGTCGCCTCCCAGACCGTGCTGGTTCCATCGATGCTCGACCGCCCTCACTTTGCCGGCGAAAACCAGCAGAAACGGAGGCAACGAACCCAGCTCGTAAATTCTCTTTCCCTTCTGGACTTCCATCCAAGACTCCAATCTCTGTGTGTAACCCCCCTCTCTCCACTTGCTCAAATCGATCACCATCACTCCTGTGTTGAAGTAGCAGGCCTTGTTCGAACGATCTTTGAACGTTTTTGTGAGCTCAGGATCGGCCCAAAACGCGTCGGTGAAATACTTGGTGAAATTGGCGTGACAGTATTCGGGGGCGGCGAGCACCTGGTTATCGAGGTCGATGGCCCATAGCTTCGCTATGTCATCGACGACCACGAGGTCGGAGTCGAGGTACACGACGCGGGGGACTGAGGGCGGGAGGAGGTCGGCGAGGTATATGCGTGCATAGTTGAGTGGCTGGTCGAGGGCACGGCGAACCGACAACGAGATCTTGTCACGCACCGACCGTGGGTCGAACTTATAGAGCCGAAAGCTCAAATATGGGAACGTCGCAACGAGTGTGCGGCGGAGGTCGTCGGCCCGGTGAGACGCCAGAAGGTGGAAGAAGAGATTCTCGGGGCACGACGCGTGCCGCAGCACAGACAGTATTCCGGCCACCGATCCCCGGAGATAGGTCGCATCAAGCGTCATCGTGATGTGGATGAGTGCAGGATCGTCGGACGGTGCTGCATTCGTCTCTTCTCTGATGCGGGGGCATTCGCGGCCATTGCGGAAGGCCGGGGCCTCATGGAACACAGGCAGCTCCCGCTGTCGAGAAGCCCGGTGGAGAGTGTCGGATTTTGGAGAGGCGGTGGCGGCATCGGTGGCGGCGAGGAGGGCGGCCAGGGAGAAGAACAAGAACCAGGTGGTGGTTCTTCCTAATCTTCTTGGCGGAGCCATTGCAATTTAGAGAGAAGAAACCAATTTAGAGAGAGAGAGAGGAATTGGTTTCTTTAGCTGGTCTGAAACCCTGAGAGAGAGAGAGAGAGAGAGAGAGAGAGAGGAGGAGGCGGA